TATAAAAAAAATATAAACTTTATGTTATCAGAGCCTCAGATTTTGGAGACTATGCTACTGGGGTCCAAAAGTGTTAAATAAAATTTCCTTTGTTCTGCTGAGCGTCTGGCTATTGTTGACCCAATTTTCCCAAAACAGTATGACAAGTGACTTTCAATTCTGCTTCTAACTTCAACCTTGTGCTTTATATAGTTTTTTGTTTTATTTTATTTTGTTTGGAACTGGGAATTGAACTCATAATCTTGCACTTAAATCATGTGCTTTATATTATGTCTTTGACACTGACAGAGAGAGGGGGGCTCCACTTCATTACCACCAGACAGCATCCAGGCCAACCTAACCTAGCAACCTCACTTGAGCAATGTAAGGCACCATGGTTCTTCATAAACCCTGGAGGACTGTACATGCTCCACCTTCAAGATTATTATAGAGAAACATCAGACATTTAAAAATGTGTATTATTACATTTTCATTCATAATGAAAGAGAAATTATAATTCCAAATAATGATAATTTATTCTTATTATTAATAGTATTATGTTCTATTTCTAACCTGGCTCAGATAGCAGCCACCAGGGATCTAGAGGGACACTGGTCTCCATGTGGCTCTTTTCTCCTCTGCTAATGATGTCAGGTGTGTCTTGGAGCTGCTCCATGGTCCTGGTGGATCATGATTGCTGTCAAGAGACTGTCCAATGTCAACATATGTTGGGAGAATTCCTATCACTTTGATTTCTGCTACCATTGGCATAGTGTTCACCCAGTAAGGAAGGCTGGGGAACTGGAAAACCCTAAGTAGGTTAGGGGTCGTCTGGAGCGAGGAGTCTGTTGTAATTTTCACCCTTCTGCTCTGGAGTCTTTGTCCAGTAAGTAGTCTCATGCAAGTGAGGGTGCACGAGCAGGTGCAGGAACACGATGGGGTCTGGGAGACTTGGGGACACAGGAGGGTAGGAGCGCTCCTTGCCGTTGCAAGTGAACACACTTCCAAGTTCTAGCAGAGCCCTGAGGAAGTTTGTGCCTGCTTTATCTTCCAGAACTTCATGAGGTGCAGTTTCCACTGAGGTGTCACTCTGGTTTATCTCAGATTTGGAAAATGAAGTCACTGAGGGAGGATTAGCAGATGCGATATACATGCTGAGCTGTTCACCAGGAGAAATAAAGGACATCTCAAATGGAGTGTTTATTGTGCTTTAGTGGTGTAGACCACCATCTTGGTTTTTGGAAATGTGAAAGAACAAAGGCTAGGCCTCTGGCTGCTGTGAGCTACTCAGGGGTGAGTCATGGCCTTATAATGCCTCGACTATCTTGCTACTTGTTTGTTGTGAATTGAAGCAGTTTCTTTTGCTTCCACAAACAGCTGAGTTTTCTAACAAAAAGATGTGGAGGCATTTGGTTTGGTCAATGAGACAGCAAGGTCAGAATCTGAGAGGAATAGCAAAGTCTCATATAACTGAATTTTATTATTTAAAGGGGAAAGAGAATATTTATTCTGATTTGGTGCACAGTAGGAGGGAGAATGAATCAGAAAACAAAGGTTGGAGGGAAGTCATGGAGCCCTTCTGTCTGCTCCCTAGCAGGCATCCTTATTCTTATGAGTTGAGGGGTCTGAAGATAGAATGTCACCTGACTAACCACCTAACATGGGAAAACACATCTCATTCACTGGCCTACCTCAGGCTGTATATTGCAATGGCTGGGTGGAGTGTCCAACAATCCAATGAGACTTGATGTGCAACTCTTCTAATGTAACTCATTTCAGAGGGATTAGTTTGGAGCAGAGGAAATCTTGCTACTAATAATTTTATAGCCCCAAATGTGGAAAAACTACTAACACGTGATGAAAAACTTCTTTGGAGGAACAGAACAGATAAATACCATAGTTTGTATGTACACATGCATATGTGGATTTGTGTGTGTGTGTGTGTGTGTGTGTGTGTGTGTGTGTGTGTATGTTGCTGGAAATTAAACCAGAGCCTCTTGCATACTATCGAAGTGCACAACACTGAGGTACACCATTAAGCCAACTTGGTTTTATGTTATAATAATTCTTTAATTACTAACTCAAGGTCTGTTTCCAATGGGACAATAAAGTATGTAAGAAAATGACCAATAATGTGAATATTATATTTTCTTTTATGAGGATGGGTAGCTACTTGCACAGTTCTTATTTAACTAGTATTTCAGGTTGTGTGTAATATAAGCCTTTGATAGCAATCACTTAATTGTACTTAACAACTGGCAAAAGTGACATATTAAACATAAATTTTAAAAATGATGAACACGCCAAATGCAATGCTGAGCTTATTTTACATGTTTAATAAAATAAAGTTCCACATTCTTTAGCCAGGAACCTGCCATTTAGTTTGATGACACTAGACGGAGGAAATGGAAAAGCCAGGGTTGGTGGGAGCAGGGAACAACACGGCTGTCCAGGAGTTCACCCTGGAGGGCTTCCCTGCAGTCCAGCACCTGGGGAAGGTCCTCTTCCTGCTGCACCTGCTGGCCTACCTGGCCTCTGTCATGGGAAACTTGCTCATCATCACAATCACCTGGGCTGACCAGCGCCTCCACACACCTATGTACTTCTTCCTCAGCACTTTCTCCTTCTGTGAATGTGGTTTCATCACCACGGTTATTCCTAAACTCCTGACCATCTTTCTGTCGAGGAAGCACATGATTTCCTTTGCTGCCTGCTTCACACAAGCATTTGCTTTTCTTTTCCTGGGTGCAACTATTTTTTTCCTGATGGCTGTGCTATCCCTGGATCGGTACCTGGCCATCTGCAAACCTCTGCACTACCCCACCATCATGAACACAAGGACATGTGTCCTGCTGGTCACTGCCTGCTTCTCTTTGGGATTTCTACTCATGGCAGGTCCGGTTATCAAGCTGTCCCAGTTGTCCTTCTGTGGCTCCAATGTCATCCCTCACTTCTTCTGTGATTTTGGACCCTTGGCAAATCTCTCATGTTCTGAAACAAGATCTATTGAAACATTGTTTTTTATCTTTGCTTTTTTTGTCCTGTTTAGTTCCCTCTTTATAACCATTATTGCCTACAGCAACATAGTGGTCACAGTTGTGCACCTCCCATCAACCAAGGAGCGGCAGAAAGCCTTTTCCACCTGCTCCTCTCACCTCACTGTGCTCTGTCTTATGTACAGCAGCTGCATCTTCATCTACGTGAAGCCAAAGCAAACGAGCAGGCTGGACTCCAACCGAGAGGCTGCTCTGGTGAACACGGTGGTGACTCCACTCCTGAACCCTGTCATCTACACCCTGCGGAACAAGCAGGTGCACCGGGCACTGAGGGACGCTCTGTCCAGAGTGAAGTTGCAGAAATAGAATCACAGCCTTTTAATAGAGGAGTGTGACTTTCCTTCCACCTAATTTAACTCCTTTCCCTTTTTGCAATTACCTATATAAGTTGGAAAATATGTAAGTTTTTTTCAGGTTCTGCTTGTGTAGTCTGGCCATTTTGGTGAGTTTATCTACTAGCTCTATGTGAACATTCAATATTGAGTCACATATTCACGCTGAATTTTGTTTCCATCAGTAAATTAATAGAATTTAAAATATTTTAATGAAGAGCCTCCTGTATATGATTTTGCCTGATATGTTTAATCCCCTATCTGGGAAGTTGCAATATAAGTATCTACTGTACTTGTGAGTGCATGGGGCTTGGGGAAGGAAATTCAGAAGTATGGAGCCTATCAAACTTGTTTAAGGACAGCTTTTACATGGTGAGTAGATTGAATTTTGAGGAACCCTTAAGTAAACATAACTCTCATTAATATGTTACTTAAATCATACGATTGCTTTGTGTAACAGATCTACTTCATACAGTGATGAAAGCATAGAAAGTTTTCTTACTGAAACTGAAATTTCCCCTTGATTCATTGTTCTGCCACATTGAACTCAGTAGTAGAAGATGAAGTACCCAAGGGAAGGAAACCTGAGGGTTTTTTGTGGGAGGAGGGGGTTTAAAGAGAATAAAATTTTTAAAAAGAACATTAAAAATGATACAGAATTTCAAAACAAGATGATAGGAAATTAACAATGGTTGTTCTACTGTATACTGTTATCTTCAAAGAAGTTGTTCAGATTGCCAGATATAGGCATGCAAAATTGATCAAAAAAATTAAGGACTAACTTTTTTCAATAAACCAATAGAATTTAGTAGTACAATTATCATAGCTTATATATATATATATATAATTTTTCCCTTCCTTTTTTCTTTTTTTCTCCTTTTTCCCACCCAAGTTGCTCTTTCCTTTTGAGCAATTTCTTTCCCTTCATAATATCTATTATACCTTTCAGGTTTTACTTACTCTTTCAGTTTCTTACACTAGAAAGACAGTTTGATGTTTACACATGCAGGTCTGATTTATTTCACTTATGAGTATGGTCTCTAGTTAGATCCATTAACTTCTAAAAGCCTCAAGTTTATCTTTCTTTACAGCTCTGTAATACTCCATTGTATGAAAACACCACATCTTTTTATCCATTCTTCAGTTGATGGGCATTTGGGTTGTTTCCAAGATTTAGCTATTACAAATAGTGCTCCTATAAACATGGGCACATATATATCACTGTGGTATGATGTTTCCCAGAAAGTCAGTGGTTGGGCTGAATGGGACCTCTAATTCTAATTTTTTGAGGAATCCTCACACTGATTTCCACAGTGGTTGTATCAGTCGACACTCCCATCCACAGTGGAGAAGAGTTTCTTTTCCCCCACAGCCTTACCAGCATTTGTTATTGGTTGATAACTTGATAGTAGCCATTCTTTGTGGGGTAAGATGGAATCTCAGAGTTGTTTTAATTTGTATTTATCAAATAACCCATAATGAACATTTTTTCATATATTTATTTGCCATTTGTATTTCTTCATCTGAGAAGTGTGTATTCATCTCAGAATCCATTTTTGGATTGGGCTTTTGAATTTTGGAGGCCTGATTTTTAAAATTTTTTATATGTTCTAGATAGAAGTCCTTGTATCAGGGACAATTGGCTGAAATTTTTTCCCAATTTATAGGTTTTCTTTTTACTATTGGTGACTTCTTTTGACGTGCAAAGTCTTTTCAATAAGATGAGATCCCTGTTGTTGATTATTTGAAGTATTTCCCATGCACTTTGGTTTTTGTTCATGAACTCTGCCTACCACTATATCTTCAAGATTTCGGCCTACTTTCTCTTCCAGTAGATTTAGTGTTTCTATTTTAATATTTAGATCTTTGATCCATTTTAACTTTAGTTTAGTACATGGTGATAGACATGGGTCTAATTTTAATCTTTC